GTTGTTATTTTTTGTTCATAAAAATTAATGTTGATATTATTTAGTTGAATGATTACAAAATTGTGGATGTAGAAAATCCCTCACAACCACCAATTTTTTCCAGATAGCCAAGCCAACGCCAACATTTGGGAGAAAACTGTTTGGAAATTATAATCCAACAAGTAGCAAGCCAATCCAACAACCACCAATTTGTTTATTTTTTCCAAATTCAAAATTTCACTCCACACAAACTTATCCAAAAGGCGAGAAATCATAAAACCCACGCAGCAACAAAAAGAAAAGCTGCTGATAACATAGGAGAATTCACAACAAAAACTAGAGTCCACAGTCCAAAGGCTAATTGAGAAAATCGCAGCAAATAGTAAACCTAATTTAAATTCAAACTTAAATTATGGAATCAATTAAACAAGCATAATACTATTAACTAGATTGAAGACACAAAACAAGGAAGAAAAGCTTCTAATCTGCGAGAAAAAAAATGATGGATTGAGACTGGAGAACGAGACAAAGGGAGGGAGCTAGAGCTTGGGTTGGATTAGAAGATGAACCAGCTGCTTGCATGGGTTGGAGAAGAAGATGGCGAGCCGACATACCTGTTCGTCAAGAAGCAAATGCGCAAAGAGGTAAGAGAACATGAGCGTCTTTTTGGTTTAAGCTCTCCCGGATTAATTATACATAGCTTTTTGGGGTTGGGGTGGGGATTAATATGCGGGTGTCAACCGCACTATTTTGGACTGACCAAATAGCTAAGCGGGCGACTATTTAAGACTTAAGATCTCGTTTGGCAGCTTAGACTGTACTGACTATTTCAGTCGGATAGGATAATTTGTCATCGGATAGTGCTGACTATTTAGTCAAGTGTGCTGACTATTTAATCGGGCGTTTGGTGCAGGTCCGGATTAAAAACTCAATTCATCAAAGATTATCATGTTCATTTACTTCCTCAAAAGGAGATTGAAGAACATTTATGGCACTAAGTTTCACAATTTAAAACTAGCAAGAGAGATGGAAAAAGAGTCAGCTTGATTTTGTTTTCAACGACCTGACTAATTAATACTGACGATTTGGAGTGTATAAGTTATCCGGCGTACGTCGTATAAAATAGGCCGAACCGCATAAATAATCCAGTGCTAATTTAATACGGAATGACACCAAACACTGGATAGTATTAAATAATACTATCCAATGTGTTATTTGGCATGCCAAACACAAAGTGTACCAAACAACAAGCTCTGTACTATTAGCCATATCCGGTGTGCCAAACGAGGCTTTATTTTATTGTTTCCTATGGTTTGATTCATTGACATTATTTTGTGAAAGTAGTTCATTTTTTTTTTCTTTCTGAAAACCATAAAATTTTATTGAATGAGAAAGACCCAACACAATGACATTAAACCAACCCAATAAATTGGAGATAGTTATTTAAAGGCCAATTGCCACCGTCGCCACCACCCTACCAGAGGCCACAAGAGTAGCCGTCCTAAGAATAACCAATCAAATTTCGCCACCAAAACGTCACACCAAAGAAGAGCCAATAGATCTTAACCACCAATGCAAGCACCTGCAAGTAGAGCCAAAAACCAACAAGCTTGGCACCCAATTTTTAGCATGCCGGTTGGGTTCCACAAAGGTAGCGCAACACAAATTTTTCCAACCCGCAACCAAAGGTTGTCCCAACCAGAATTCACCACCAAAATCGCTACAGGATAAGTGAACCACTAGAAACTAAACCACCATCACATACTCCTGTAAATAGAAACAAAAATAAAAACAGGTGAAAAGAAAATGGGGGCAAAAGGCACATCTAAAGCACGCTCGCTTTGGACTAGGACACAACACGCTTAGCCATGATATTCCTTGCAAGCCAGTAGGAAGAGGAGCGATGAAGGGAGAACTAGATTTGACACTCAATAAAGAAATCACTTTATTTAAGCGACCAAAAGTAGGTGAACCCTCTTATAATTTAAGGTTGCAAACTTATAAAAGATTAAACATGAACTGTCATCTCGAAGCTTCCGTACTAGAATAGAGAGCGAGTGTAAAACAAGAGAGAGGATCCTTGCTGGATCATCTTTATGAGGATTTCGGAGATTCTCTAATCACATTCGTATATCGCACGATGTATGATGAACAAATATGATATGAAGATCCTTAAAATCCTCACAAAAAGAATTCGACGAGGATCCTCACTCGTAAAACAAAACCTTGTGTCTGGTATGGTCCGGTCTTTCATTTTAGTATTGAAGCTTTGGTTCATGTGCACATTAAGAATTATAAATAAAAAAGACACCTGAAAGATAATAAGATGGTAGTACAAAATCATTGACTGCTAAGGCATCATATAGTCCATGTCAACTAAAGAAGATATGAACGCGAAATTGAACATATGCATAGTTAATTTAGGTGTATTCTACTGTTGAACTCTGAAATTTTCTAACAAAATGTACTCGTCTTTTAACATGTTTTTTATTGCGTATGTGATTGATGATATAGAAATGCTACTGTCACATGTCACTGACGTGATTTTTCCTATGTTTGTAGTCATATGCTAATAAAATCGCACATTTTATTTCTTGATTTACATTACACAGAGAACGTACTTATGTGGTAACCACCTAATAACATTAATCTGATGCATCAGTGTCAGAGGATTGATGTTAATTGTACTGCTTGATATCTCCGTTGTTGGTGCATGCACTCAACATATCATTTTCAGATATATAGTTTTGATCCCAATTTTTCAATATCAAGTGTCATTTGTCAACATTTAGCTCTTATATAGTGATGAATTTACCCTATATTCTAATATATAACAGATCTTGAAAAGTGATAGAATTGCGAGGCCGTTAGATTATAGAAGTAAGAAGAACAATAGAAATAATAAGAACACCGCTATTGAGGATAATGTTTATGTGTGTGTGTATATATATATATTTTGTCAAACGAAATATTTTGTTAGATTAGATGTTAGATTAGCTACCGATGAGGTTTGAATCCAGGCTATCATGCAAGGGCTTAACACATTTCCACCACTGTGGTAAATGGCCACTTGCAATGTTTATCTATATATGGAATACTTGTTATGTATTATTATGAGGGAATTATTATTAGCACTCAAAAAATCTCATTTTGCATTTCAAACTTTCTAGAATTAGAAAGAAAAATACATGTGTGAGGAGTGTATAATAAATTTTTTGGAGTGCTAATAACAGTTCCCTTATTACAATTGCATTTAAATTATATTATATGTATTTATTTTATTACTATACTAAAAGTAAGACATATTAATCATATCGTCTACTTATTTTATAGCATATAAAAACGTATAACACATGATAAGTATTCCAAGTATACATACAAGATTTTTTGGTTTATCTGGAGCGCTGTCACGTCATCTTACAATTCCACTTATAAATCTCTCTACTACGCAAGTGTTTGTTTGATAGTTATCTGGTTTTTGGCTTGTACTTTTTATTTTATGTGTTTTCATAATCAGGTAAAATACATGGTGAAAATGAAAGATAAAGAAGAGTGAAGAAATATGATGAGAGAGACGCAGAATAAATGTACAAGGAAAGGTACACAAACACAAAACTATGCAAAAAACAATTTTAAGTTGTTTAATTTCACTTTCAAAAATTTGTTTCGTTAATTCTTCTTTATTTCTTTCACTTTCTCTCACTACCCTTCTTCATCCTTCCTTTTTTCCATTATATTTTCTTCGTATCACAAAAATTTGAAAACCCAACACCAAATGTAAGAGACGATCGAGCCTTAAATAATTGCTGTAGGTGAGAAAAGAGTAGGTCGTTGAACGAAAAGTAACAAAAGTTTGAGAAGTGTGTGCTCACCTAATCTGCTAATTTAAACTATGTTCGCTTGTGCTAGGTTTCTCTTTACCTTCTCTGCAAGGAATGAAAATGTCTCCATACATCAATTTGATCAGTAACGGCTGGTTTGAGATTATTAGAAATATTTGAAACTTAATATTAAAATTCAAATGCTTTTGGGAAAATAGTTAAAAGTATTTCTTGAAAAAAAAAACATTATTGAAAAAGCGCTTTTATAACTTTAGAAGCAATTTAAGATTTTCTGCAATAAATAATTTTTAATTAACTGAAAATACTTACTCATTCAAAAAAGCATTCTCAAACATGCTCTAATTTATAATAACACATGATAATAATGAAATTTATTTAAAGTGACTATTTCCTTAGTTGTAAGCCTTAAATGTTAAAATCTGAATTTTTAATTTTCTTGAACAAACAATATTATCTACATTAACTTAAGACCTCTCACTCACAAGTGAAGAAAAATAACACTAGACTGTAGTACAAAGTAACAAATGCTAAAATCTAAATTTAAATCTAATAAATTTTGTATTTATCTTGTTTGAAGTGAAATTTGACCTTCAAGCTAAATACAAGAATAGAAAACTGTAAGATTGAAAACCTATCTTATGTTAAATTTTTTTTAAACAAATGATATTATCTACATTAAAATGAGGAGGTGATTTTAAGTTAATTTTAGAAAAGCTCTCTTGTTCGAACTCATCATTTTATTTTGATAAAAAGATAGCGTCATAATACTATGATCTAGTAATATTCATTTTTATTTGTATGTGCGAAGTTACAAATTCAACTCACATAAATAACTATGTCGTATTGTATTTGTGTTGAGTTAATACATAGTTAGTGGTTGGTCCGTTGTAAATAAAAGGTCATAAAGCCAACTCCCATCAATATTGTTGTATTAAGAAGGATAGAGATAATGACCGTTGATACGTGCGTTAAGGAATTCGATTAGTGTGTGCATGGTTGATGCATTTATGTGTTGAGAGTTGGGGCTTAGCTATTTATGCACACATGAGTGACTCGTTGAGAGCATACGTTGAATGACCGGTTTGCATCAACACTTGACAGCCACTAGACGATTGTCGATGACATCACTCTTAGTAAGAAAGAAAAATAAAAGCAAAGACATAATTTTGTTTTAGTAATATAAAATGGGCATCAATGTATGCAAGAATGGATGATGATGGTGGTGATGAATGAATGATACATGATGCTGTTGGCATCCATTCTGTTCATCCTCGCAATCCGTCCAAGCAAAAGCGCTCTCTCTCTCTCTCTCCCCGACCAAATCTTCTCCTCCCCTCTTTCCCCGTTTGTCCGAACCTTCTAATTTCTAGGGTTTCCGTTTACGCCATTAAACCATCTAAAGCCCTCCATCCAATCCACAAAACCCTAATAGAAATTCCTCACTTAGCTACAACAATCTCGCCTCATTTTTCTCACATTTTCCCTAAATCCAGCTTCCCTGTCTCCGCCGCCATCCGCCTGTCTGAAATCGCAGAAGTTGCAGCTGCTCAACATTCATGGCCAAGACCAAACCTGGAAAAAAGGACCTTGACTCTTACACCATCAAGGGCACCAACAAAATCGTTCGACGTAACTATCCTCTCTCTCTCTGAAAAAAAAAAAACCAAAATTTATTCTCCAATTTTAGCTTCTAAAAACCCGAATTTAAAAAAAAAAAAAAATTATATCTATGTTTTAGATAGCTAAATTTTCGATCTTTACATATATACATGAAGTTATCTGTAAAACCCAGATTCAAAATTTCAATTTCGAGCTCGGAAATCCAAGACTTGTCATAGTTTTTCAAATTATTGGTGTTAAAGACTCGATTTTTTTGTTAAACAGTTTGTGAAGTTAAGTATTTCTCTGCTATGTGTGGCATTGATATTTCGATTGATTTTGTACTGGCCAGCTGGTGATTGTGTGTTAATGCGGCCGTCAGACACTGATAAGCCTCCGTATGTGGCACGCGTGGAGAAGCTCGAAGCTGACCACCGCAACAATGTGAAGGTTCGGATTCGATGGTATTATCGGCCTGAGGAATCGATTGGAGGAAGGAGACAGTTCCATGGGGCCAAGGAGCTGTTTTTATCAGACCACTATGATGTGCAGAGTGCACATACTATCGAAGGGAAGTGTACAGTGCACTCCTTCAAGAACTACACTAAGCTTGAGAATGTGGGAGCTGAGGATTACTTCTGTAGGTTTGAGTACAAGGCTTCCACTGGAGGGTTCACACCAGACCGCGTGGCTGTGTAAGCAATGTGTTCTTTTTGTGATGATGATTGATGATGATTGCGCACAGAAACACACATGTAATACTTGATTGGTGATGATTGGTTTTTGAAATTATGCTGTTCTGGTTATTGTTTTGAAGGTATTGTAAATGTGAGATGCCATACAATCCGGACGACCTTATGGTGCAATGCGAGGGATGCAAGGACTGGTAAATGCACACCACTCCCTTGTTTTGTGCTTGGTATTGTTCATCCATTTCAAAGTTTGTATGCATTTTGTTTCACTAAACATTGGATCTTTATTCATTTTTCTTTTTAGAAGCTCTCTTGATTAGTGGTTGGGTAGAATAGAAAATGGAAATTGTGACTGCTAGTGCCATATGATTCCATTTGTAGAAGGTGATGATTGTTAAATTCATTTACTACTTAGGTGTTGCAGATGATGAGGTGTTTGTCAAAATTTCAGATTGCTCAATTGCAAACACATTTAGTTTATTTAGTGTATGGGAGTTAGTGTAGCATGTGGAATGGTATATGAAGAGTTTTAATTCATAGTAATTCGGGTATTTTTTACCATATTTGGGTTTCAGACCATATACACTGGCTCAATCTCAGTAATCCTCAACACTTGGAATTTATTTCTCTTTTCTTAATCGTTGTGTATTGTGAGCGGGGGCTCATTTGATTTCCTTTTGTACCTTATTTCCGGTAATATCAGACCTTCTAATTTTCTGAATTTAAGGAAATAAATATCTGCTTATGCTTAACATAGTATGTGTCTACTGCACAAGGTCTTCTTTTGGTTTATTAAGTTTGATGGTTATTTGGTGGATGCTTGAGAACTTGATCTTAGGAAGGTATTAAATCTGATCGTAATGGATATTATTCTCAGTTTTAGAATATGGAACTGTTGTGGAAAAAATATGACAATATCTATATCAACAGAAATTGAATTGAAAATTGAACTGGTCCCATATGATTCTCATATTTTTGTTTTTAAGCTTTACTTAAGATACTTTTGTATGAGCCTGTTATATTACTCGAGCAATATAAGATCAGATGAAGTGCACTGTCAACAAAATAGTAGTTGGTTGCTGTTAAGCAACTCTTCAAAGATAGTGGAATATTTATTTTGGACAGGTGGATTTTAGGTCCACGATCTATCCAATGGAGTTTTTTACTGTCAAAATGCCTTTGCCTCGACAACATAATTAAGTGTTGGTGTTTTCAATTAAACTAACAATGGCATTGTATACATGGTAATAACAGATATGCTTCGTGTGTTGCATTCATAATTTGCAGGTTTCATCCCTCGTGTATGGGTATGACAATTGAAGATGCAAAAAAGTTGGAGCACTTTTTATGTTCTGACTGCTCATCTGATGATGATGCCAAAAGATCCTTGAACACATTTCCAGTATCACCATCTGTTGAGGCTAAGGTAAGAAATCTGTGTGTTCTATTTATCCAATTTCAAAAGGTTCTTGAATGTATCGCAGTAACACCACTTGTCCAGACTAAGAGAATTTGTGTGTCTTTGTTTCTTTTGTCACTATTTTACTCAAAGAATTATAGCGAATCTTTATGACTTAAATTCCTTGTCAGTATTTATGCCTTAGTTAATGCAGATTGAAAATTGGTATGCTGGAGACGTTGTCTTTACCTAAAACACTTGGTTTTCCTTAACCAACATTGTTAGATGATTTAATGACAACCTATGGAATAAATAGTGGATAAGGAAAACTTTAAAAGTTTTGAGAGAGAGAGAGAGAGAGAGAGAGAGAGAGAGAGAGAGAGAGAGAGAGAGGTCTTATGGATAGTGATTATGATACCGTGTCAACTAGTGGAATTAATTTTAGGCAATGCTGTTTAAGTGGCACGTTATTATAGTTATCCGAAGCCTTAACCAGAGCATTATGTAAACACTTTTGACTGTTCTGAGGTAATTTTGTTGAGCTCATATCAACATCATCCTATTGCTTTCCTTTCAGTGAAGGATCATGTCTTTTTAACAATGATATTGTGTTCTGTTTTGAATTTTGTTCTAGGCCGAGCCAAAGCGCAGGAAGAGGTGACCTGTTGATTCAGATGCTTGGTGAGGAGGTATCCAGACTTCTTTGGCATAGCTCCTGTGTTGTGTGTTGTGGAAATGTACAGTGCAGAGAAGATACTGTGCTTGCACAATCCAAAGGCTTTTTTTAGTTTTTGAATGTTTGTATGTGTGCTAGACTTAGGCAATGAGTTTGTGTTCTGTGTTGCCCTTGCAAGACATGAAAATCATATTTGAGCACAGAGAAAATGAGAACACATCAAACCAAACATTTAGGAGGAACTTTGGATTTGTGGTGATGTGTTTATTGCTGGCATTACTTAGTACTGCATGCAACGGCAACTGTTTTAGTTTCTTGTGTTTTTTAATCCCCACCCTCCCCCTGGTGTTTCACTGTCCTTTCCGTCGTTGGGCATGAGAAAAAGTAGGGCTGCATATGTTGATCACAGGCACGGTGAGTGCAGTTTCAGGAGTAACTGGAACAACCCCATTTGGCGTAACCGGTGGGTTTTGTCTTTGTAAACGCTCAGTTGCCACTGGGTTGGTCTTACTGGCTGGTGGAGCTGGGCTCCATTCCATCAGATTGCTTTTCTCCCTGCCTCGTGCTATTTTCCCCACAGGATCGACCATCAGCAAAGACATGTGAATGTACCACGGGTTTGAGGATCATGTATTGTCATTATCATAACTGCGGGTTTTGTCGACCTCTATGATTAACTGGTGCTGTATGTTATTTGTGCATGTCAGGTTTTTGAAGAATCATATTTTCCGGATTCGCGTCGAGTCACATCTTTTGGTACAAATCTCTAGCCTTTAGTATTACCATGTTTTAGCACCATGGTACACATATTCACCTAAAATCTCTCTCTCTCTCTCTCTCCCCTCCCCATCCAAATAGAAGACAGAGTCATGAGATGTCTAAGAGGCCGTCTTGACCTAACTTGGCCAGCAAAGCTCATGATTAAGTCTCTTATCTTGCCCAATCAAGCTATATATATACCCTGTTTATACTAAATATTTGTTCATTGTACTCAAACTAACAAGTTATGTTGGTTTTAATGTTCGTCTTTTAACTACTAATTTGTTACACCTAACTTGTTCTTTTGCATTTTCTCAATATTTGTTTAAGAAAAATGAAAAAGAAATTGGTAACTTAAAAATTGGGGAATCCTTGAATAGTAGAAATAGTTCAATAAAAAAAAGTAAGAGGATGAGGTATAAATTCCACATCTTTCAACACAAAATTGATGAGATGGTGGAAAATATGTGGCGGTGGATGTCACTGACTTAATGCCATACAGTCTTCCTTTTCCATTAGCGCAATCTTGTGCACGTTTGCAGCTTGTATGATTTGAAAAAGTGATTCACTTTTACTCATATACACGTGATTATTTCAACTATTTGGGGGCAATAGTTTCTTGGTTTGGATAAGACATTTAGTTCGTGTCGCTAGATCTAGGAGAAAAAACGTTTGATGGAATAATTTTTTAGATGTATTGTCGCATCCCCAAGGATTGGGTACACTTTTTACAGGTCAGTGGAAGTACATGATAAGAGTCTTTTACCTTGTTTAATCTAGTTAGACCGTATGATGGTAACGAGATTTTAGTTCGACCACTTCATATTAAATCTTTACATCCAACTTGTCTTTGACGAGAAAGACTTGGGTAAGGGTTTTCGACCACTTTATGTGTAGGATAACTTTCGCAAAAATATGAGATCTCCTACTTTTGTTCCACTTTACTTCACCTTTTCTCATATGTAAGAGTTGTCATAATCAAACAATCATACTGAAGTTATTCTCGTCATTATTTTCTTTCACTTTATAAATTTTTTTTTTTTCTTCTTCAAATTTTAGACAGAATAATTTAAAATACAGGTTAAACGGTTAAGGGACGTTTGTGTAGCAACAAAATAAGCCACGCGTTCCAAATTCCTTGTTTTTCTTCGACTTTCGTTTTCTTCATCGAAATGTAGAGGCTCCACTGTATTTAGTAACCAGACAATTTCCTTTCCATTTTTTTAAATTCAAACTTTTGATTCTTTTCACTTTAGCCTTTTGCCTCTCTCTCTTCAAATTAGGTGCCCAATTAGATTTAATTAGGGTTTTGTCAAGCTGAAGACCCGACTTCCAGACTTCCTGCTCGGATTTTTGTAGGTCTTCCTTCACATTTTCTGTCGTTTTCTCGCACTTTCTCGGATCCCTTTGATTACGCAGCCGATGTAAGTCAATTTTAATTGCGTATCTCTTCAATTTATTCAAAACCCACAAGTTTTTTTCCCTTCAATTTGAATTCTTTGTCAGAAATTATGAGGATTTGGTGCCCGGAAGAATCGTCTAGGGCAAGGGCATGTTCGTCTGGTGGGGTTATAATTTCATCTGTCCATAAATTGTGACCTTTCGTGTGGATTGGATTGTTGGGTTTTGAGAATGCAAATTATTTGAATTGGTTTGTGAAAGCTCGATTAGTGTTTACAGAAGTTGAGGGTCAAGGGTTTTGTAGATATGATAAAAAATATATTGGGTAAAATACCTCGGAAACCATCGAAATCATCGCAAAGCGATGCGTATAGTGACGGAGGGGCCAATGGGAATGGCCCCAATCCATCCCACAACTCAAAATCGAGCTCTTCTTCGTCAAAGTCTTCGAATTTGGGTTCAGGCAATTCGCGTTCGAGCAATGGGACTCTTGCCTCACACTCCTCGAGCGCAGTTAAATCAAATCACTCGAAGAAATCAGCTCCCATTGCAACCCAAGTAGGTCCTTTGTTTTCTTTGGGTGCATATGAGCCTCTGCCGAGTTTCAGGGACGTTCCAAGTTCAGAAAGGCAGAATCATTTTATTAAGAAGTTGAACATGTGTTGTGTTGTGTTTGATTTTAATGATCCCTCAAAGAATCTCAAGGAGAAGGATGTCAAGCGGCAGACTTTACTTGAACTTGTTGATTACATTTCATCAGTAACATCAAAGTTCAATGAGGTGGTAATGCAAGAGATTACGAAGATGGTGGCGACCAATCTGTTTCGTACACTTTCGTCTTCCAATCTTGATAACAAGGGTCCTGATATGTATGACCAAGACGAGGAGGACCAGATGTTGGAACCAGCTTGGCCTCATCTTCAGGTTGTGTATGAATTTCTATTAAGATTTGTGGCTTCGCCAGAGACCGATGCTAAGCTAGCTAAAAGATATATTGACCACTCGTTTGTGTTGAAGTTGCTTGGTTTGTTTGACTCTGAGGACCAAAGAGAGAGGGAATACTTAAAGACGATCCTCCATCGCATTTATGGGAAGTTCATGGTGCATCGACCATTCATTAGGAAATCCATCAACAACATCTTCTTTTGGTTCATTTTTGAGACCGAGAAGCACAATGGGATTGCGGAATTGCTTGAAATCTTAGGCAGCATAATCAATGGTTTTGCTTTGCCTTTGAAGGAAGAGCACAAGCTGTTCCTTGTTCGTGCCTTGATTCCTCTTCACAAGCCCAAGTGTGTATCTATGTACCATCAGCAACTCTCATATTGCATCAGTCAGTTTGTGGAGAAAGATGCCAAGTTGGCGGATACAGTGATTCGAGGGCTGCTGAAGTATTGGCCCATAACTAATAGTTCAAAGGAAGTTATGTTCCTTGGTGAATTAGAAGAAGTTTTGGAAGCTACCCAGCCATCAGAATTTCAGCGCTGCATGGTCCCCTTGTTTCGTCAAATTGGTCACTGTCTCAACAGCTCACATTTTCAGGTACTTTTCAATTAATGGCTTTATCTTTTACTGGCTTTGACTGTGTATGTATATAGATACAGTGTGTACTGTTTTTATCAATTCTGTTTTATTCTTTATTTTATTGTGCGCTTATACTTCTGATGGATGTCCATTTTCAATATCTTTCTTCCAGTGAAACGTTTGTAAACATGATGTATTTTATAGATTCTCATATGGCTGTTACCTTTTCAACTAGCCACCTAGTTGGTTTTATGAGATGTACTAGATATATGTTAAAGCTTGGGACTTTTGATGTTTTGTTGGAGATTTTTGTCTTCAACAAATCTGTAAATATTCTGTTTCTTTCATTTCAAATCAAGTTTTTGTGTACTTATTCACGAAATCTCTTTGCATTTTTTATCTGCACCACTTGGTTGAGTGACAATTATAGATTCCCGTTGTCAGAACTGTTGGGTTACTTCAGATTGTGGTTCAGGTTCATTGGAACTGAGGTGATGTGCTAGTTGTCAAAATTAGTTTAGACGAGTTGTCCAAGTTGCACCTTAATATAGTGGTGCATAAATGAACAAGTTCATATTTGCTTTACGAAGTTGTGTAAGTTAAAATTTTCCTTGAGTTGGAGAGCAGTATGGCTGTGGAAGTTTAGAAATCATTTGAAGTTGAGAGCTTTAGGTGTTATTTGTTGGTAAGTTCTGCTGGCGCACAATTTGGGAGGTGGATGGTGATAAGAATTTCTGCTGTTCATATTGATCGGTGGGAATTTCTGACTTAAGCACCTTTTCTTACTTAGATACAGTGCACTGGTTTTGGCATTAAGGAAACTTAACAGCAAAGGGTTTTGGCGTGCAAGATTTGGTGTATATTCATTAGTATGATGTGAAATTTGTATTGTCACTTTTGTTTTACTTAATGCGAAGTTTTCTTAACTTGATTCCCATTGGCAGGTAGCTGAACGTGCATTGTTTTTGTGGAATAACGATCATATAAGAAATTTGATTACACAGAATCGCCAAGTGATTCTGCCAATAATCTTCCCAGCTCTGGAGAAAAACACACGAAGTCATTGGAATCAAGCTGTTCAGAGTTTGACATTGAATGTGAAAAAGATATTCTCAGATGTTGATCAAGAACTCTTCGATGAGTGCTTGGTTGGCTTCCAAGAAGATGAATCCAAAGAGAAAGAAACACAGGAGAAACGTGAATCAACGTGGAAACGCTTGGAAGATGTGGCTGCTTCCAAGGCTTTGGGCAATGAGGCTGTGCTTGTCTCAAGATTTGCTTCCTCCGTTGCCATTGCTACTAACCCAAAACCACGGGCATCTTCAGGTAGTTGAGTTGAGACCCTCGCAACTCACAGATTCTGTTTGCCTAATCAGTCATAATCGGAGGAAAGTGAGTTGGGATCCAACCTCACTTCTCTTTGGCTTGTTGTAACTCTATGCTGATAAACGCGAAGGCGGGGTATTGTGGACTTCACAATTGCTCCTAGTTCACTCTTTCCTTTTGTACCCTTCAGCCAGGGAGGTATGTAATATAAAGGTTTGTTATAGGGATGTGTGCTTATTACTTACTAGAATTCATGATAAAATTTGCTGTATAATGGTGAGAAAAGTTTACATTTTTCTGGTTCTGTTTCAACCCAAGCAACGTTTTCTCTCGGAAATTGGTTGTAATCCTTAGTCCGGTGCATTCCTAGAGCTGTAGGCTTGATACTTCTTTCGTAAATCTGTACTTTATCATGCCAGAAATGGAAGATTTTGTTGTTCAATAAGAAATTATTCTATGCCGGATCTTCGTTGCTGTGGTTTCTGCTTTCTATTCTCTTATAATACGCTTCGCGCCAAATGGCGGAGATTTGCAGCCCAATGGTGTCCTCGGCGAAGCATAGTTTTGTGCATCGGGGATCACCAGAAGAAATGTCAAAATCTTGTTTAAGCTGTCAAGAACTTGATGCATAAAAACATCTTTGCAGTTCATATGAAAATGGTACTATCAACTACAAAAAAAAGAAAAGAAAGAGAGGTTATACCGCCTCTGGTAAACAATGAGAAGCAACAAGCCTAAGGAGCATGTATATCATGTCAAAATACATTACGCAAGTCTACTAATCATCGCCAAAGGCTCGGAAACTGTAACGCTCTTGGTAAGGACCGTTGAACCAGAGGTCAGCCTCCAACCACTTGGGGTAACGAATAAGATCCCCAGCCACGAATTGCATGTACTGCCGGCTGCCTTCGGACACGACTCTCACCTCTCCTTCCTCAATGTAAACCAGCTGGTCGACCTGCCAGTCCCACGGCAGCTTGCACTTGCCCGTCTTCCACATTGACCATCTGGAGACTCCAAGCTCTGCTAGTCTCTCCTGTGACACCTTTCTCTCGACTCTCACTTGGTACAATTCCTCCAGAGGTTTCTCTATCCGCATTGCCTTCAATTTCATACCACGATGTTGCCCGTTAGTACTACTGCGCTCGCTCCAATCTTTGCCGCTTCTTCTGACTGAGATTGAGCAGAAAGTTGGGGCCATGATCACACTTGCCATGTTTAGGCTTATTCTGACCTGCTAGGAGTTGAAAACAATGAGGCATTGCACAAGTATTCACCAAAGAGAAAAACCAACACCATGATCTCTGAATTTAACACAGGGTAGTGATTTTCACATTTGCGTTATCCCCTTCTGTACTCCTCCCCTTGTTCACGTCCCTTGATTCTTGTTTGATTTATTCGACCCAAATCCTCAAAAGAAACAAGGGAGTGCCAGGGGAGAAGAAAAAGGAGTGAGAAATTGCTTCATGCAAGTTATTCGCTCTAGGTAGCCAAATCCCAAATACAAAGCAGTACAAATAACAATTATTTTATAAAAAAATTTAAAGTCAATTGTAGTAATGGTCCCTCAACTTTAATCAAATTGAAGCAATGGTCCATTCCATTACCATTAGTCCCTCAACTTATCAAAATATGTAGTTATAGTCATTTTCATCAATTTCATCAAAATTTTGTCAAAATAAGTTATGTTGGAATAACCATTTATATAATTAGATTCCCTCAACTCATCAAAGTGTGTAATTATGGTCCTTTCAACTACGTCAAAAATTTTGTCAAAACGAGTTATGTTGGAAGGACAATTGCTAAATTGGGTTAAAGTTAAGAGATCATTTCTCTAGTTGAATTATAGTTAAGGAACTAATGATAATGAATTTTTAGTTGAGGGACCATAGCTGCATGTTTTGATAAGTTGAGGGTCCAATGAATTTTTAGTTGAGTGATCATTACTCCAATTGAGTTAAAGTTAAGACACTGTAACTACAATTTACTCAAAAATTTATGAATATAATTAGAGAGATTATATTCACACACCCCAAATTACTTATCCCACACCTTTTTACTTTTTTAATATTTTCTACACACCACTAACACTTGATAGAAAAATATTAAAAAATTAAAAAGGTGTGGAAGAAGTAATTTGGGGTGTGTGAATATAATCTCCCTATAATTAATGTAATTCATCATTGACTTGAATACGGAACTCCCGGAATAAATCTTTTTCTCCTTTTCCGTACCCATGTTTATTTTTGTCTATGTTTCTACTCTGACTTATTCAATCCAAAGACCGGAAATAAGTAAGAACGTGCATATGGAAAAAAAACGTGTGCGCGGAAATCACTTCCATTTACTTTTGCTCAGAAATTCTTAGTGAACCACTTGGACAAACTCCCTATATCCCTAACCCCACATTTCAAACAAATTATACATCTTTGACTCACCAATTGTTTTTCTTACACCCAGCAAGCAAAAACCTTCAAATAAATGAACCCAGCAAGGATTTATTGGGTCATCTAGTTCATACATATTTCTGAGTTTTCGAATCAAGATTTTCATCTCCTTTCCCACCCCAAACGAGTAGAAGAGAACCCAGAAACCATTAGAGGAAAAAGAAGCTTAAATTTGGAAAGCAAATCAGCAGAAGCAAGTTATGGGATTTTACCTGTTGAAATTGAACCTTCAAATTCAGAGGAGAAGAGTGAGAGAGACTGAGAAGAGACAGAGCTCTGAAACTAAAACCCTAACGCTCCTCCAAGGTTTATCCAATACCCCAATTATTTGCTGCAGTTTACAAGGACTTTGAGCGAGTCACTCGCCCGTGACCTGTTTGCCTCACCCACAGTTAACCGGTAACCGGATGTTTCATTTACCTTGCTTTTCTTTTTCTTTTTAGGAAAATGAAAAGGGAAAAGAAGTTAGTTTTGTGTCCAGCCTGGGACGGATAGATTTATTAGGAGAGAATTTTCAATGTGTTTAAAACACGTGGCGGAAAACCACATTTCATATTACAATTTAGTATCTCTTCAATTATATGATGGCATGTGGTCGGACATATTGAAAAATTTCTCATTTTTAAGACGTTAAACACCATGATGAGATGACATGCTTTTAAGTGTGAGATGAGCAAGTGAGAGGAATTGGTTTTGTACATAGTTTTCGGAAGGTGATGATGTTTCTTTGCTTCAGCTTCAATCCATCAATGGGTTGTTTCAGAGCACAAAGGAGGGCTCAGTACTTGCTCATGGAAGAAGTGCAAGAGCTCGAAGATGCCTCTGCTCGCAGACTCAATTCCCTCCCTCAACAACTCAGGTGCCCTTTTATTGAAGTTCCAGATTTCATTTATGTGTTTTATGTATATTAGTCCGACTATAAAACAAACATTTATTGTCTATTAAACAATCCACTATGAATATGTTGTCGCTAATCTATCGATAATATAATCGCAAACAAAACATATTGACATGTTTTTTTTATGAGGACACTGCTTGAATGAGTCAGTGGTGCTGGTGGATCATACTCGTTTGTATGTGCTTTTAAAATAACTAAAAGCGCTTTTAGAGAAAATGTTTTTGAGTTCCAAAAGCACTTGAAGTGCTTTCTGTAAGATGCACCAATTATGTGCTTCTTCCAGGAAGCACTTTAAGTACTTTTCCAGGATTTACTTGTATCTTTACTAAAGATTGATTCTAAAAACATTTTCACTAAAAACGCTTTCAATCGTTTTAAAAGTACATTCAAACAAGCTGGACCAAGCATGATAACATTTTTGAACCATCATTTATCTTCGGGTCGATTAGATAGTGACTTTAATTACAAACCAAGGAGGAAAACAAGGCTTCTCTTCTCAAACCAAAGAATACACACAGGCAACTAGTGTTTACTTATACAACACCATGCCCCCAAAAGGGAAGGCAGCCATTATTCATACAACACCTATTTCTATCATTTTCCTTTTTCTCCACCGGTCTGACCACTCTTCAAACTTCGTATCCACAGCCATAAACACCACCAATAGGAACTATTTACATAGATTCAGACAAAAAATAAGCAATAATGTTGTTAATTGGATGTCTTTGGACCCAACATTTTAGCAAGCGCCTTAATAATTGGCTTCTCTTTTATATTTTCGTCCCTTTCCAAGCGCCATTTCTTCGACGTTTTTTCAGCCTGCATTTAGAAGCTCCATGTTAGTTCATGTGCAAGTCAAACATTCAAGCGGAATTAGGTAAGAGAAAAGGAAATCCCATTCAAATGTTACAACTTGACGTACCCAAGCTCTTAAGGGAGCTAGTTCCTACTGAATCATCTCCAGTTTTGGCTCCATAAGGTCTCTCCCTTTTGTTCGGACGTCTTCACTCTGTTAATATAAATCACAACTTGATGTGAAATTGTCACCAAATAGTAAGAATGTCTTCGCAACTTTCATCAACACATCACGGCAAAAGGATCCCACGTGGTAATTACAAGATTTGGGTATCAAGACACAATATATTTGCACTTACATTTTGCAACTGTAATTTTGAGACGGCCATTCCTAATAGCAAGGTGGCACCACCAAATACTACTGCAGTTGCAACAGCAAATGCCTTCCCAACTACAGAGAAGCAGAAAACGCATCACATTAGGACTTTAGACGGAAACCAAGCAAAGCTCGTGATTCTTACAAAAATATGAGAATATGCGCTCAGGATTGCATTTCAGGGTGCTAAGACAAGCAGCGGAGCTCGGGAATACAAACACAACATCAAAAATGGCAATTCACAATAAGTTGCCAAGATAATATCCAAAGATCATGCATAAAAAGAGTTGTTATTAGTAAGACCGATTTATATGTCAAATGGGGTTGAGCATTATAATAGATTTTAAGAAATAGATATTTTCTTGAGCAAGAAACCTTCTTTCCTTTCCTATACTATCTTGACTGATCATTATTCCTTATGCCTTCACCCGACACGGCCATTATCCCTGTTTTATAAAAACTATCAGGTAACACACACATCTATAAATGAAAATGGATGTACTTTGAGTAAACCCTTCGGCTGCAGCCTTCAACTTTTCAGGATTAATGTGGGTAGTATGCCTGTCTCGACGCAGCTCATTAGCCGTCGAGGCTGACAATGAGCTTTCTGATTCCGGCAGTTGCCACCTGCATTCAGCAATGCCATACATTATATAGGCTAGAACAATTCACCATTGGAGAATTCTCTCAAATTCAACACCGAATATAGTATATACTAAATGCCCCTTCATATGCATTCCTCCCGGAGAGTACTTGGTATTCCAATTCCCACGTGAATATGCACAATAAAGCTTCCAAATTTTGCGAATTCATAACAAAATTAAACAAATTTTGAGCATTCTGTAACAAATCAACAAAGTCAAATCCACCAAACAAGTCCAAGAATCTTCAATTTCCCACATTTTCCCAGAGAACAAACACAAAATTGAACAATTGAGAAGTTAAAACAAAAAGGGCAAACCTTTTGGTGCCAAAAGTGACCTGGGGCAGCGACAGGTAAGCCCTCAGAGGGTTGAGAGCCTCGGCGGACACGAAATGGCCGTTCTTGGAATCGGATTCAAGAACCCATTTGGAGGCCGTGTCCAGAGACGACGTCGTTTCGGAAGGTTGGTGGAAGATCTTGGAGGGCAGAGAGTGCCTCAGGACCTCCGGAAGCACGTCGGCTTGCGATTCGTGCTCTGTCGCGGCGGAGGAAGCTTCGGACGGCGATGATGGGAGCTTCTTCTTCTGGGATACGAGGCGGCCCACCGCCTGTTTCGATTCCTGGAGAAAATAGGCTCCCTCTTTCCCGGCTAATCTTCCCGCGAGAAAGCTCATTTCTTTTTGGTTTCCTGTATGCTATTGACTTGGATTTCTCACATTTCACTCGGGCATGTAATATGTCATGCTGGGTTTCTAATTTTTATCATATAGTTTGGTCTTTGCTTGCCAATCAAGTTTAAGGTTACTAATTAAAAATTAATCTGTTGCCTTTGGTCATAAATCTCCATTATAATACCTTTTATTTAGAGGAAACAAGGTTGAATATCTCTTGAGTTTGAGATATCTTTTTATCCAAAACGCTAGGTTGAAAATTTTGAGTTGGATTTTTATAAATTGATATCAAATTCACACAATATGTTGAAAATTTTGAGTCCAATAAATGCGACCTCAATTATCGGGTGTAATAAAAGGTCTCATGAGTTTCATTCTAATAGAATACGAATCTGGCAATTGTTAACCTAATGGTATTCCTCTTCACTTGTAAATGAGAGATCTTAGGTTCAATTCTCATCAAATGCGAGTTTGAACCACATTATTACTAGCCCATATTGAGACTAAGTCCACCCATCTCCTTTAATGTAAATAATATTGTTTGTTAAAAAAAAAACACTCATATATCAATGCGAAATAAATCACTCATATAATCATTGTAAAAGTCGGAACTGGATCCTCTCTTGAGCTCAGGATGGGGATTCTCCTGAGCAGCCCATCCGGGCCGTTGAAATTTGATCCAATGGCTCCAAATAGGGGGCCCTCTAAAAGTTATAATAATTGCAGCCGTTGGATCAAGTTTGAATTGCCCGGATGGGCTGCTCATGAGGATCCCCATCCTGAGCTCAGGAGAGGATCTAGTTCTGTAAAAGTCTAAAGATTCATGTTGCGCATAAGGGTAATTTGAATAGTTTTTAGGGATCAAAAACCCATTTATCAATATGAATCAATCTTTGTCAAATTTCTTTCGTGTGACATAATGTTTTTTTTTTAATTAACGGGCTATTTTTATTCTTATGTTGTCTTGGAAAGTCTTGTGTGTATGAGAATGGATGGTTTAATGGTGTTGGCCCTGTTGGGTTACTAGCTAGCTCCCTTTAATTCTGTTAGAATTCCTTTGTCCCACATCGACCAGAATGCTTGAGAACAAGCCTTTTAAATAAAATTACCCTTCTAACCAACACGAGACCTTTTGTATTAAAACCCCACACCTGACAGATTAAGTAGGTAGCCAAGTGGGGACAATATCGGTGCTATTGGAGTGAGCCCATGACCCGTCTACCTGAAATTTAAGATGGTACCAGAGCCAAGGGACGAGCCCATACTACCACGTGAACAGGTGGGTCCCCTTTGACCCTGTATGAATGGGTGAGCCCCAACTTGGCTCCATGTAGGCCAAGGGATGCCATGTGAATGGGTGGGTACTCATTGGCCCTGCACGAACGGGTGAGCCCCAACTTGGCTCCACGTGGTTGCCGATGTGTGGAACTCCACGTGTGACCCATAAAATGGGGTCTCACGTGCGGGGGAGTGTTGGAATCCATTGTCCCACATCGAACAGAGGGAGAGAAGAAAATCAATTTAAATAGAATTACCTCACTTTAACTGTCACGCCCCGACCCGCGAATAAAGACTATCCACGAGTTAGGGTGTGACTCATATCTTAGCTATAGAAATAAATTCTACAACCAAGATATGGTGGGAAAAAAATGAAATAATTAAAATTGATTGAATACACAACGGAATAAAAAACAATGCACAAATTAATTCACAACAAAAACTACTAACAAAATAATAATTAAATTGTAACAAATATTAGTATACAAAATTAAGTCATAACAAAAATACCAACAAAAATAATAATTGTATTGAGTAGCTCTTGAAAATACATAAAATGTATGCAATGAGATGTATGAATGTACTCACTACCTTCTAATCCCGTCAACACATACCTAAGGCACCCAAGCCTGCACATCCCATACTATACTTATACCACTTGGCTCCGAGTACGTTAGAATATGAGTTAACTCCCGTTCATCTCTTAACCCAATTTTTATAATTAAACTCTCAATTTCCACTTTATTAAACAAAAACTTCCCCCGACGTCCAAATGTATACTCAAGCCCTGCACCCTACGCTTGACATATACACGGTTCATTATTTTATATTCAAGGCAAACTTTAGCCATTGAATATCCTCACAACTTAAACACTTTACACAAGTGAGCACTTGACACAACACAACTCTTTTCTTGCTTTGCAATGCATATGTGTATGTCACGTTCACATAGATATCAATACTCACACTTTATCTAACAAGCCTGCAACTTCAACATAAATCAAATTGATTAGTAACAAGAGTAATATAATCATAATATTAACAAAATAATAATCTATAATCCATCATATAAAATGTTGCTCGTTGACCACTCCATATATATTTGTTCATCGTCTCGTCCATCTTGGTCGAGCAACCTGTTTTTATTAGAAAAGAATAGACATCAACGTTAGAGAAAATAATTGTTAGAGTGAAATATATGTCTCAAATGCCACAAGGCATGAAATTACGTCTCTAGCTTTTCCCTTTCCAAACATCATCTTTTATTTTTATTTTAGCCCACCACTTCTACTTCTTTAATATAGCTGAAACTATCTGCTGTTCGAACTGAGATATAAGTCAGAACATATATTCGATTGTTGTGGTTTTTGGATATGTTATAGAGGAGATGATAAGGAACAACTTTTGTGAAGGAAGTGTTTCGATTCGAGTTACGAAAAATGGGGTTTTGGTGCTCATAACATGGCTGTCCAGTTTTCTGCGGGATTATAGACATGAGTTGGTATTTCAGACATAATGGACTATCACACCGTTGGATGTTTCTGAAAATTTTATATATCATGGTAGAGAGACAGACAAACAACTCTCATGAATGAAGTATTATAATAAAATATATGGATAATGGTGTTTTGATCTGTTAAATAGGCTGGACGAATTTCTAGTCTTGGATATCTTTCTTTTGATAGATGAAAATGATAGTAGTTTGATGGAGAGATTTGTTGGGTAAGGCTCATGTATTTTTCTGGGATTTGTCTCACACTCTTTGTACATCATCCCCAAGAGAGATAAATAGAGATTGCCAATAGTTTGGTGGAATTGCTTCTCATGGAAAAGATCTCAAAATGTAAATGCATAAACACACAAGATTTAAGTGGTTCGCCAAATTGACTACATCCACTGGGGTTTGCTTTCATTGTATTTCACTATATATGAGGGACTTACAAATACAATGAAAGATGGCTTAAAGCCTTAACAATATGTAAAAGAAAGGTAATTGGATAATATGAAAGGGAGGATGGCTTTTTATTGGAGTTGTTTTTTTTTTCTTTTTTTTTTCTTCTTCTTCTTCCTCTCTCTTTTCTTCTTCCTCTTTCCTCTATGTCCTTCCGTTGATTCTTTTCTCCTTCCTTTATGTAGATTGCATGACATCTTCTTCTCCAAAGAATCTCCACAAGTGTGCCAATGGAAAGAAAGTAAGTGTTGTGCTAATCATTAAACATGAAATGTGTTCACCAAATGTTAACCTAATCATCACCATGAAATGTGTTCCAATCACAAGGCAACAAATGTTATTCTCATCATTAACAATGAAATGTGGTCCAATAGACAAACAACAAAGGTTAAGCAAAACCTTAGCTCTAATATGTGTTCAAATGGCAAAGAGACATGTTTGAAGTTAATCAATATTATGCAAGGTGGATACAAGCATCCAAGCCCACACTCATCTCTAAGGAATATGAATCCCACCTCTTCAAACTTTGGAGGGATGAATCATCACCAAACATTTAGCTCTTAGATTCCTAATGAATACAAACTTGCCAACTCACCCTTAAGTAGACTTCCACCTTCACATTTAGAGTGGTGAGTAATCACCAAATCATTAACTCCTAATGCTACAAACTCTCCACCTCAACCTATTTAGAGTAGTGACTAACCCCTCCCCCTTATTCTCTAATGGTTGCCAAAACACCACTTAGCCTTTGTGAGGAAAATCTAGCCAAACTCATCATAATCCCCTTCTCCAATTCAAACTAAAAATATCTCTAATTACATATGAACATGAAATAGCTAGTTTTTGAAATAATTTGTAGGAAAAAAGGATTTTACATTGAAACTATTTTACATATCAAGAATAGGTTCTTGCATAAAAATAAATCAAATAAAATCATTACGTAAAAATAATTACCCAACATACACCCATATATATATAACCATTTTTTTTAAATACGGGGTATTACACTAACTAACATTGAGGCATTTTGTATTAAAACCCCACACCTGACGGATTGAGCAGGTGGCCAAGTGGGGATAATATCGATATTGTTGGAGTGGGCCCATGGCTCGTCTACTTGAAATTTAAGATGGTATCAGAGCCAGGGGACGAGCCCATTTTTCCATGTGAATGGGTGGGTCCCCTTTGACCCCATGCGAATGGGTGAGCCTCGGCTTGGCTCCACGTAGGCCAAGAGATGCCACGTAAATGGGTGGGTCCACATTGGCCCCCATGCGAATGGGTGAGTCCCAACTTGGCTCTACGTGGCTGCCGATGTGTGGAACTCCACGTGTGACTCATAAAATGGAGTCTCACGTGCGAGGGAGTGTTAGAATTCATCTGTCCCACATTGACCAGAAGGCTTGAGAACAAGCCCTTTAAATAGAATTACCCCTCTAACCAACATCGAGATGTTTTGTATTAAAACCCCACATCTGGCGGATTGAACAGGTGGTTAAGCGGGGACAGTATCGGTGTTGTTGGAGTGGGCCTATGACCCGTCTACCTGAAATTTAAGAAATTATGCAATTCTTGCATGCCTATGGCTATATGTATGCTCGGAAGAAAATGAAGAAGAATAAAATTGGAGAAAGAATATATATTTGTCAGGAGCGGATTTATATAGAGATAGGGGTGGTTCTAGGACCCTTCGAAGATCGGGAGAAACGCTTGTAGTGTACTTCGGAGGACCACCCTAAACCCTAGACAAAGCTCTTGAAGGACTAGATGGATAAATATTATGAAAAATAATAATTAGTGCTCTAGTTGGTAGAAGCCACCGTTGGCTGGTTTATTCGCGGGAGTTTGAAATTTTGAGTTGCAGAACCGGCGTCAAAAAAATGAAGAAA